TCTGCGTCTTGTCTTTCATTTTCTAAATAAAGTCTTTACAAGAACAAAAGTCCAAGACTTGATGAAGTCTGATTTATCCTTTTTCAAATTTTATAGTTCATGCTTTTTAATATCCTAAGACACCTTTGTTTATTCAAGGTCACAAAGACTTTTTTAAAACTCCCCAAGTAACTTTCATGCCCAGGCAAAGTTGAAAGCTACCAGACTACAGGGAATCTGGCTCGCCTTCTTCAATTTAACCGAAGTTTTTACCATAGTAACTTAAGAGTCCTAATGGCAAAAAAGGAGTACAGTTCACTGGAGTGCTATAAAAACAAGGATGCAACTGAGTCTTAGCACTGTCTGAACTGACCAGCTTCCAAGATTAAGTGTGAGCAGCTGTGAGGAGCTAGAAACAGGGATTTGAGAAAGCAAAGTCAGGGGTACTTTAGTGTGTCCCAGCTAAGTTAAAAGAGAAAACAGGATTATCCTCTCTCCTACAGAAAAAAGCGCACCCAAGTTTATTTTAGTTTAAACTGAGCAAAGCGGAAAAATTATTTCTGTTCTTGGTGGGCTTCTTTAGAACATGCCTCTCACAGAGACCACAGGGAGATGGGAGTCAAACTTGGCAGGTTTTGGCCATGGTTTTTGAAGCCACCACATTAAGCAAATGAAGGTGGCATCAATAATATTTGCCCAAACCTTGGTTCCAACAGAGATTAGACAGACTGAGCTTTCATTACACGAAAGGAGATGTCAGGAGCACCAAACGGGCTCGATTTTCCCTGGAGTCCTAGACAAAGTCAGTCTATGTCTAAGCTGTGCACAGGAGGCTACATTCTCCAGATGCTGTATTTAGCTAAAGGAATCCCCTACATGGCTTCATGCAAAATGTAAAATATGTCCCAGCAGAATTACCATAAACCAGAGGGCTAGCAAAAAGCATCCCTTAAGGGGGTTCGATAGCATAGAGGGGCCAATTGTACAGCCACCCTCACACCCCCAAATTAGCTAAATTAGCTGTGAGCCAGATTTTTGGTCAGCTGTCACATTTAATGAGTCCTTGTTTCCCTCTCACAGAAGGCAGAGATATTCTGCCCCTGGGG